TGTAGCGTGTGGAGTGTGGAGTGGAAAGTGTAGAGTGTGGACTGTAAAGTGTAGAGTGTGGAGTGTGGAGTGTAAAGTGTGGAGTGTAGAGTGTGGACTGTAAAGTGTAGAGTGTGGAGTGTGGAGTGTAAAGTGTGGAGTGAGGAGTGTAAAGTGGAAAGCGTGGAGTGTAAAGTGTAAAGTGTGGAGTGTAGAGTGTATAGTGTAGAGTGTATAGCGTAGAGTGTGGAGTGTGGAGTGTAAAGTGTGGAGTGTAAAGTGTAGAGTGTGGAGTGTGGAGTTTAAAGTGTGGAGTGTAAAGTGTGGAGTGAGGAGTGTAAAGTGTGGAGTGTGGAGTGTAAAGTGTGGAGTGTGGAGTGTGGAGTGGAAAGTGTGGAGTGGAAAGTGTGAAGTGTGGAGTGAGGAGTGTAAAGTGTGGAGTGTGGAGTGAGGAGTGTAAAGGGTGGAGTTTGGAGTGTAAAGTGTGGAGTGTGGAGTGTAAAGTGTGGAGTGTAAAGTGTGGAGTGTGGAGCGTAAAGTGTAGAGTGTTGAGTCTGGAGTGGAAAGTGTAGAGTGTGGTGTGTAGAGTGTGGAGTGTGGAGTGTAAAGTGAGGAGTGTAAAGTGTGGAGTGTGGAGTGACGAGTTTACAGTAAAGTGTGGAGTGTGGAGTGCGGAGTGTGGAGTGGAAAGTGTAGAGTGTGGAGTGTGGAGTGTAAAGTGGGGAGTGTGGAGTGTAGAGTGTGGAGTGAGGAGTGCAAAGTGTAAAGTGGGGAGTGTGGAGTGTGGAGTGTAAAGTGTAGAGTGTGGAGTGTGAAATGTGGAGTGGAAAGTGTAGAGTGTGGAGTGTAGAGTGTGGAGTGTGGAGTGTAAAGTGTAGAGTGTGGAGTGGAAAGTGTGGAGTGTAAAGTGTGGAGTGAGGAGTGTAAAGTGTGGAGTGTGGAGTGTAAAGTGTGGAGTGTGGAGTGGAAAGTGTGGAGTGTGGAGTGAGGAATGTAAAGTGTGGAGTGTGGAGTGTGGAGTGGAAAGTGTGGAGTGTGAAGTGTGGAGTGTAAAGTAAGGAGTGTGTAGTGTAAAGTGTGGAGTGTGGAGTGTAAAGTGTAGAGTGTGGAGTGTGGAGTGTAAAGTCTCAGGTGAGGAGTGAGGAGTGTAAAGTGCAAAGTGTAAAGTGTGGAGTGTAAAGTGTAGAGTGTGGAGTCTAAAGTGTAAATTGTGGAGTGTAAAGTGTAGAGTGTGGAGTGAGGAGCTTCCCCCAAAGACACAGCGACGCCACAGGAAAACCAGAGACTCGAGACGAGACACGTGGGTGCAAAAAAAACGAGCATTTCGTGCGATACATCCTCCAATTTTGATATTTTCGACATGTTATCAAACAGGTTGGAATGTCACAAAGTGTCACGCCTGCCACGCAAAACGACATGGCAACCTGCTTGGGCACATTCGAATAGGACATGTTTTCCAGCTTCCCCCATAGACACGGCGACGACACAGGAAAACCAGCGACTCGAGACAAGACACGTGGATGCAGAAAAACCATTGAAAAACAAACATTTCGTACGAGACTTCCTCCAAATTTGACATTTCCGACACATTATCAAACAGGTTGGAATGTCACAAAGTGCCACGCCTGCCACGCAAAACGACATGACAACCTGCTTGGACACATTCGAATAGGAGAGGTTTTCCAGCTTCCCCCATAGACACGGCGATACCGCAGGAAAACCAGAGACTCGAGACGAGACACGTGGGAGCACCAAAACGATCATTTCGTGCGAGACTTCCGGCGATTTTCACAATTGGCAACATAACAAAAGGACAAGTTTTGCAGCTTCCCCCATAGACACGGCGAAGCCACGGGAAAACCAGAGACGCGAGACGAGACACGTCTTGAGCACCAAAACGAACATTTCGTACGAGACTTCCTCCTATTTTGGCACTTTGCAGCTTCAAAATCGACGTTGGACACGTCCAAAGTGCTGCGCCTGCCACGAAAACTGCAACACATCTTCTGAAAACGTCACAAAAGTATTGCGCCTGCCACGCAAAACGATTTTCAACACGTTGCACAACACGTCTGAATGTCACGAAGTGCCACGCCTGCCACGCGAAACGAAGCAACGACACGTCTGAAACCTCCAAAAATGACCACCTCTGCAGAACTTCCCAAAGGCACGGCCATACGGGGATCGCGCGGACGGTTGCGAACGGTTGCGGACGGTTGCGAACGGTTGCGACCGTGAACGCAACGTCGAGCGAACACACCCTCAACCCCCAGACCCCCAGAGTGAAACGGGAACCCTTGCTAGGCATTCGGGAAAAACAACAATAACCACAATATGGTTTGTTTCCCATCCCAAGGTTAAAAGCTTTCCTGATGAAAACAAATTTATGTATACATCTATCTTATATTGCTGGTGTGTTGGAAATTCTGTGATTTCCCGGATGGCCCAACCAGGTGGTGAGGCACCACACTTAGAAGATAATGTTTGGGAATGATTAACTCCTTCAAGTTGATTTCATACGACCCTCATCCACCACAAACATTGCTGCAACAATGTTGATATAATATAGATGTATACATAAATTTGTATTCATCAGGAAAGCTTTTAACCCTGGGATGGGAAACATGTGCTGGACGAGGGTCGTTTGAAATCAACTTGAAGGAGTTGATTATTCCCAGACGTTATCTTCTTATCTTCTAAGTGTGGTGCCTCACCGCCTGGTTGGGCCACCTGGGAAATCACGGAATTTCCAACACACCAGCAATATAAGATAGATGTATACATAAATTTGTGATCACCAGGAAAGCTTTTAACCTTGGGATGGGAAACAAACCCTATTGTAGTTATTGCTGGTGTGTTGGAAATTCCGTGATTTCCCGGGTGGCCCAACCAGGTGGTGAGGCACCACACTTAGAAGATAATGTTTGGGAATGGTCAACTCCTTCAAGTTGATTTCATACGACCCTCATCCACCACAAACATTGTTGCAACAATGTTGATATAAGATAGATGTATACATAAAATTATATTCATCAGGAAAGCTTTTAATCTTGGGATGGGAAACAAACCATATTGTGGTTATTGCTGGTGTGTTGGAAATTCCGTGATTTCCCGGGTGGCCCAACCAGGTGGTGAGGCACCACACTTAGAAGATAATGTTTGGGAATGGTCAACTCCTTCAAGTTGATTTCATACGACCCTCATCCACCACAAACATTGTTGCAACAATGTTGATTTAAGATAGATGTATACATCAATTTGTATTCATCAGGAAAGCTTTTATCCCTGGGATGGGAAACATGTGCTGGACGAGGCTCGTATGAAATCAACTTGAAGGAGTTGATTATTCCCAAACATTATCTTCTTATCTTCTAAGTGTGGTGCCTCACCGCCTGGTTGGGCCACCTGGGAAATCACGGAATTTCCAACACACCAGCAACATAAGATAGATGTATACATAAATTTGTATTCACCAGGAAAGCTTTTAACCTTGGGATGGGAAACAAACCATATTGTGGTTATTGGTGTTTTTTTTTGGAGATTCCGTGATTTCCCGGGTGGCCCAACCAGGTGGTGAGGCACCACACTTAGAAGATAATGTTTGGGAATGGTCAACTCCTTCAAGTTGATTTCATACGACCCTCATCCACCACAACCATTGCTGCAACAATGTTGATTTAAGATAGATGTATACATCAATTTGTATTCATCAGGAAAGCCTTTAACCCTGGGATGGGAAACATGTGCTGGACGAGGGTCGTTTGAAATCAACTTGAAGGAGTTGATTATTCCCAAACGTTATCTTCTTATCTTTTAAGTGTGGTGCCTCACCGCCTGGTTGGGCCACCTGGGAAATCACGGAATTTCCAACACACCAGCAATATAAGATAGATGTATACATAAGTTTGTATTCATCAGGAAAGCTTTTAACTTTGGGATGGGAAACAAACCATATTGTGGTTATTGGTGTTTTTTTGGAAATTCCGTGATTTCCCGGGTGGCCCAACCAGGTGGTGAGGCACCACACTTAGAAGCTAGTGTTTGGGAATGTTCAACTCCTTCAAGTTGATTTCATACGACCCTCATCCACCACAAACATTGTTGCAACAATGTTCTTATAAGATAGATGTATACATAAAATTGTATTCATCAGGAAAGCTTTTAACCCTGGGATGGGAAACATGTGCTGGACGAGGGTCGTATGAAATCAACTTGAAGGAGTTGATTATTCCCAAACATTATCTTCTTATCTTCTAAGTGTGGTGCCTCACCACCTGGTTGGGCCACCTGGGAAATCACGGAATTTCCAACACACCAGCAATATAAGATAGATGTATACATAAATTTGTTTTCATCAGGAAAGCTTTTAACCTTGGGATGGGAAACAAACCATATTGTGGTTATTGCTGGTATGTTGGAAATTCCGTGATTTCCCGGGTGGCCCAACCAGGTGGTGAGGCACCACACTTAGAAGATAAAGTTTGGGAATGTTCAACTCCTTCAAGTTGATTTCATACGACCCTCATCCACCACAAACAGTGTTGCAACAATGTTGATATAAGATAGATGTATTCATAAATTTGTATTCATCAGGAAAGCTTTTAACCCTGGGATGGGAAACATGTGGTGGACGAGGCTCGTATGAAATCAACTGCTTTTGTGTTTAGTACAATGAAATGATTGTAATTTAGCGTAGCTTTATCATTTTTGAACGTTTTGTTCATATCAATCAATGCATTTGTAATTATGTAATTATTATTAATATTTGTTCAACATGGATCTTCTAAGTGTGAGGTTTTTAACAATAAACAATATCTTCTATGTCTCACACTTAGAAGAGCCTCCCCGGCACGAACATGATTTTTTCTCCAAAATATCTTCTAAGTGACTGTCCGGCAGTATATTGTGTTTTAACGCTATGAATATTCACTCATCAGATTGGGTGATAATCATCATAATGATTAACATCATCAGGAAAACTCACGAAAATCCTGGTTTCGCACTATGATTCTTCAATCCAGGCCGCCTCAGATTCCGATCGTTGGGTCGCTCAGGAGAAAATCGCTGGGTCTCCAGCAAAAAAAACAAGGGGGTTCACCACCAAACATGGAAATTCAATGATATTTCATGATTTTTAATGATATCTAATGATATTTCATGATATTATTGTTATTTAACATAGCCATGGAAAATGGCCCATTTATGGATGATTTTCCCACTAAAACCTCCATTTATAAGGGATTTTCCATGGCTATGTTAAATAACCAGAGGGTATTTCATGATATTCAAATATTGAACATGGTGGTTTTCAGGGCCATTAAGAAAAAATCCCCCATCTATGGAGCGTCGGGAATCGTTGGGTGTTTTTTTAATGGGTTCTATATGCTCATAGAGACGACCAACAAAACAAACGGGTGAAACATGGATGGTCTTCTAATCCAAAAACAAGTGGCACCCTCTGGTTATGACTACCAGTTCGCCATGGTTAAGCCATGGCCCATAGAAATAGATCATTTACCTATTAAAAATGGTTATTTTCCATGGTGAACTGTTAAACAATCAGATGGTAGATGCAATCCCATTGACCGTTTCGACTGTTGAAAATGTCGAGAAGTTCCAAAAGTCCATCAACATTCAAAAAATCCACATCCTGGTCACTTCCCAAATGGGTTATTTGATTCCCCATTATACAGGAGAATAATGTGCTTTGACACAAGTAAAGACTTGGGATATCTATGGGCCTCACTAGCAGAGCAAATCCTTTTGGTTTTTGTGACAGAGACAGAGCCCCAGAAAGAGGCTTACAGAATCAGAAAGGATGGGGTCGTCATGGCATCTCATAGTTCAACTACTGTATCTTCAACTTATTGTCCGGCAATCAAACATGGCTAGCTGGGAAATCTTTGAAAAAATGGATGTTTTAATCTGTTTTAATGGGACCATCGAATTTCATCAAAGTGAGAGACACGATGCGGAGACATTTCCTGCCTCAGTAATGCTCAAACAATATCCAAATAGATATACTGATTACTGTAAATGGGAAAAGATAAGCTCATTAATCTTCTGATTGGTGGTTTGGAACATTTGTTATTTTTCCATTAATATTTGGAATGTCATCATCCCAACTGACGAAGTCCATCATTTTTCAGAGGGGTAGGTATACCAACCACCAAGCAGTTATGAATTATAGCAGCATTAACCATCATTAATCACCATTAATCACCATCAATCACCATTAACAAACCAGCTATGATTTTTTTTTTGCACCAACATCATGGGGATTTTTTCTGCATGAAACAACTCAGCATTGTTTCGTAACTCGCCTCATCCCATTTCATCCCAGGATGCGATTTGGGTTGGTTTCATCATTGGATCAATATCTCGGCTCCCATAGAAGTTATAGATGATGTTTATATAACCTAAAGGCTGGCTTAAATTGTGGAATATCTTCCCAATTATGGTATCTAAAATGAATTTAAATGGAATATCTTCCCAATTGATATCATATATATCTTCCCAATTATGGTATCTAATATGAATTTAAATGGAATATCTTTCCAATTGATATCATATATGAGTTCATATCATATCATCATCCACAAAAATCGTTTGTTGTTTAGGGGAGTATGTTTTCTCAGTTGCCCAGGCCATTATATATTTTTTTTCATGTATGGTGTTTTCCAGCTGGCTACTCCAAGCGGTAAGCCATACATCAAAGGAATTAACGAAGCCAAAAAGGGGATTGGATGGTTAATGATTGGGTGCTCCCACATTATTGATCATGTCTGAATGGTTTTATATGGATAATAACGGCATTGTGATATATTATAACCCATAGGATCCATGGTGCTGCTATATATGGTAACATGGATCCCATCAATATACCCCCTTTATGCTGGCATATATACCAGCACCATGGATCCTATGGGTAATGGGATCTATTTTATATACCCCATTATTTTCATAACATATTATAACTAATATACCCCATTATTATAGTATATTATAAGATTTTCCCGTGAAAACCAATCCATTGAATCTGGGGAGTCTTGATCTGGATAAATTGATCCGTTCAGCGTTTCACATCCAGCAACTGCGATGGGACATCGAGCTCGAGGCAGTCCTGGGACTAGTCCTACGTTCGGCTAGTCACTGCAGTTATATAATGTTATATATATACATATATATATATATAGCCCACCGGAGTTTTTATTCCAGCTATATATATATACATATAACTCATAACCCAGTTATGTATATATATATATATATATATTTACATTCTACTAATCCATATATAACTAATAGTCCAGCTATATATATATATATATAACATATCTAATATATATATATATACATTCCCCAACTTCCAACTGGACTTCAAGCCCACTGAAGAACTTGGGCCAAGGGCCAAGACCTGAGGTGACCGATGTGGCTCCGGAGAGCCTGACGCAGGCACGCCCTCGGGTGTCGTTGAGTCATGGGACTTTCATGGGATTTAACCATCACCAATAGGGATTTTGAAGGGGATTTTGAAGGGGATGTCACTTAGAAAACCATCAATTGAAGGGATTTTGAAGGGGATTTAGCCTTTGGTAACTGGGCAGTTTGGCTTAGTTCGGCCCATTTTGTTCGAGGAAAAAAACTTCTTGGGAGGCCCGACTTCACCAAAGTGTTTTTTTTGTCGTGGTGGAATAGGAGGGTGGTTGAAAAACTTCGTTGGAGGATCATCCCACAACCAGACTATGGGTAAACATGATTGAATCATACAATGTGGCCCCCCCCCAGTTATAAGTTGGTTTAGATTCGCCCTAGTAACTATAGTTATTTGCGTACCATAAACCATAGTTATTGGAGTTATGTTCACCAACTTAGCTATCGAACGGGGGCCTCACTAATTGTATTTAATCATTTCTTAGATATCATGGGAACCCTGGGAACCATCCAAAAAACTGCGAGAACGTGACTTTTTTTTATGATGTTTCAGAAACCGAGTTGTTTCATCCATTCGTCGGATAAGTCCTTCTTTTGGGGACTTGCAATCACTGCTATGAAGAAATCACTGGGATGATGCTCCAAGTATGTTCACCCAAACGGGACTTGAAGTTGATACTGAAAAAATGATCACCATCAAAACTTGCTGGTTGGTGGTTTGTTTTTTTTCCATATATTGGGAATAATCATCCCAACTGACTAATATTTTTCAGATGGGTTCAAACCACCATCCAAACTTGTGATTTTAGATATTTTAGGTACGGCAATGACATTTAAATATGTGGAGGGCGGGCCAGACCGAGAGGCCCCGGAGGTAATATGAAATACCAGTTCGTATATTTAAATGTAGTTAGTTACCGAAACGTTGAAATGAATTGGATTCCGTATGTTTAAATGACCAGGCGGGCCAAGGAAAACCTTCCCGGAGGTAGTCTAATACCTGTTCGTATATTTAAAAGTCCGTATATTTAAATGTAGTTTCCGTATTCTAACGTGAAACACGGGCAAAACGGATGGCAAATTTGGTTCAAGTTAGTCTCATTGCGCTGAACTACACCACGCAAATGCGACATGTTGAACATGGCCCTGGTTTTTTTAGCGTTCACCAAAGGTGAAAATCCGCAACATTTTCATATTTGTCAGGGATCACCAATGGTTAATTCCATAACTATGGTTGACTATGCTGGTTGGTGGTGACTGGAACATGGCTTTTATTTTCCATAATATATTGGGAAGAATCCTTCCCATTGACGAACTCATATTTTTCAAGATTGTTAAAACCACCAACCAGATAACTATGGTTGACTATGGATTTATGACCTGCTATGACCTGCTGGGGGGAGGCGTTCCACTGTACCACTCATTTTCACCCAGAATTGCTGCAAACACCTTCTGAGACAAAAAATTGGGGTTGGTTTTTGAAGGTCAATCTAAACATCGCAGCTCAGAGTTTTCAGTGTGTATTTGGAGCACAATCTAGTTCATTAGTTTTTGAGATACACTGTATACATAAATGTACACACATTATACATATATACATTATATATAGATATGTGTAATACATATTCTATATCCCTTTTTTATACATATGTATACGCATATAATCTCATATATATATATATATATTATATTTATATATATATACATATATACATATACATCCCCATTACATCCTTATTATATCCCTCAGCCTTGGCGTGTTTTAACATCACTCCAGGCTGGTGGAGTTGCCGCGCATGTGGAAGTTGGAGGTAGGGGATGACGAAGGGATTCCCCGTGGGAATATCATGCAATGTGAGGCCTCCGTTCGATAGCTAAGTTGGTTTATAACTCCAATAACTATGGTTTATGGTACTTATAACTATAGTTACTGGGGCTTAAAAACCAACTTATAACTGGGGGGTGGCCACATTGTGGGAATATCATGGGAAGAAGCAACAAGAATGAGACTATCATGGGAATAAATTGTGTTTAGTGGTGATTAATGGTGATTAATGATGTTTAATGGTGATTCAATAATTGTAACACTGTATGGATGCAATGGGGAAACTGATGGAAATAATCATGGGACAATATTCCAAGGCATCCCATTATTTTAACAATAGTCTCATTATAGTCCCATTATAGTCACATTTTCCTATAATGGGTCCTATAATGGGAATAAACTACTAGACATATCATGTAACACAATTGTAGTGGGACTATAATAGGAATTTGGGTGAATGTGGGTATCAATTATTGATAATACGCAACCATAGTGGATAATAACAATACCAACTTCCCAAAATCGAAATACACAATTCCTGGTGTCATTAGGTCCACGGGCGGGAAATTTCTTCCAAGATCTTAGCGAAGAAAACCTCGATGTTTCGGGATTGTTTTCCGGCCATGTTTGATGACACCAGAGGTTACCTGGCTAAAATGCATGGTTTGACACAAGGTGGTGCCCCAGTCACGTTATGTGAACGTTGCTTTATATGACCCATCCAACTACAGTTGCCCGTTATTTAACCTAGCTATGGAAAATCACCCATCTTTAGGGGCAAATCATCATAAATCATCGAAGTAAATTGGCCATCTATACCAGAGCTACGTTATAAGTAACCAGAGGATATAGTCACTATAGTCAGGAGAAATCCAATCGTGACCTAGTTGCAAAGCACCTTAGCTGCTTAGCTTCCGAGCAGGGGCACCTTGTACTGAAAGACTTTCAAAAATTGCAGGCTTGGGGCTACAAAAAGTTGATACCCATAAACACCCAAGATGTGCCTCCCACTTGGTAGATTTAACTGTGGCCATCTAAATGATTCAGATAAACTATTCTGGTTGGTGGTGACTGGAACCATGGAATTTTTATGACTTTCCATATTTATTGGGAATAGTAACCCCAACTGACGAACTCCATCATTTTTCAGAGGGGTAGGGCTCAACCACCAACCAGTATTACAAACTATATGTTCAACTCATGATCAATACTTCAGATTTGCTAGGGCACTATCAACTACAATTGTCAGGAAAAAACCCTTACCGGTGCTTGGTAGGGAATGGGGGAATGGGATGATCTTCATAGATCATTTCCCCCATTCCCTACTTTCAGCACCAGAATATGGGTCCATATGGTATCGATGATTTCCCATGAAAACCTCCATATATATATACAATGTGAGGCCCCCGTTCGATAGCTAAGTTGGCGAACATAACCCCAATTTCACTATGGTTTACGGTACGCAAATAACGAACTAGTTACTGGGGCTTATAAACCAACTTATAACTGGGGGGGCCACATTGTATAGAAGGTCTATATGATTATAGAATGGGCTAGCGCCCGGGCTGAAGGTGGTTGGTCTATATCTAGCCCAGTCACGTCCCAGATTTTAGCGTGAAACTTGGTTCCTTTCGACTCAGCTGGCTCCAACTTGAGCGTTCCTTGGACTCTGCAGCCTCTTCAGCCTTGCCAATTGATCGTCCTGCGCAGAAGGATCGGACTCAGTTTGATATTTCCCATCCAGTGATAATCATCCCTTTTGATCAGTAAGGGTTTTGAGGGGTTTGAGGGTTTTTAAGCGTTTTAAGCGTTTTAAGGGTTTAAGGGCTGGCAAACGGCAGGCTTGGATGCCCATAAGAAGCCATTGATGTGTGGCCTTGGGGTGCCTGTTGGCTGCAGGATGAAGCATGCCAAGGGAATGTTTAAGCGATGTGGCCTTGGGGCAGTGCTATTGCCTGCGCAACAAGTGCAACACCACACGCAGGTAGACCACCCCCGACAAGCTCCGCAACCATTGCCCATGGGCGCCCATATGGGTACAGGACATGCCTGCTAAGTGCTGTCCAGCACCTTGCACATTTAAAGCCCGTGCAGAAGGCCTTGCACAGTTAAAGCCGGCGCAGGCGGCCTCGTGCGTTTGGTGCCCGCACGGAAGGCAAAGGACGGACCCCGCCGTCTTCATCGCTGTCGATGACTTGAACCTTTACTACGGGAATGCGGGAACGGCTGTTTTGGCCTTGAAATACAAAACCTTCCGCAGGAAAACTTACTTGCCCAAAGCATGTAATTTTCATGTCCAAATGCCTGGAAGTCTTAACTGCAAGCAAGGTGAAGCATGCCAGGAGAATGTTTACGCGATGTGGCCTTGGGGCAGCGCAGTTGGCTGCGAGATGGGTTTGACCTTGGGAAGCTAAGAAGGAGAAGTTCCACACCTGCGGTGGTCCCAGGCGCCGCCCCTGCCTTGGCCAAGGCCGGGGTCGGCGGATTAATGGTCATTCTTGATCTCATTTGATGACTATTGGGGAAAATGATGACCAACCAATGGATTTATATGAAAAATATGAAAGTCAATGGGAAGGATTATCCCATATATTATGGAAAATAAAAAATGTTCCAAACCACCAACCAGTATATATATAGGGGACTTTCCAGCTTGCCATGTTTGATGATGGCTCTCCAGGTCGGGGCGATGCGGTACCAACAAGGAACCCGTTGTCCGAGCCGTCGTCCATTCCACCCTGTGGAGTCACGATGCCCAGTGGACCCCTGGTGACCTGTCCCGTAGAGGCCATGGAAATCCCCAGGAAAATCTTTGACTTAAGTATCTCCCTGGCTGGAAAAAATGAAAGGTCAAGACTTAAGTGACTTAAGTATCAAATATATGATCATACGATCATAAACAGTTAACCAATCAAAAGTAACAGTCAAATATGATCATATAGATTGGTTAAGCGTCTAAGGCTTCTGGCTCAAACCGCCCCCCTATTCCGATTTGTGGGTCCGTTTGCCATTAACCTGAGCGGGGATACCGTGACTTTCCCCGCGGGTTTTTCACACGCTGAATTACCTGTTATCGGTTTAGGGTCATCCGCCAAAACCCGGGACAATTCTACACATTTTCTTTGCTTGGCTCTAGCTGTCATTAAATTGACCTCTTGCCTACATTGGATTTGTACAATACAATTTATTTTTGGTGAATTTACTGGCACTGCGGGAGCCGATTACCGTATTTAAGTGACAGTGACGTTCCTGCACTTTTCGGTTGTTGGCCGTGGTTTTCAGTAGGTTGGGCATTTGTTTCTCTGTCTTTGACCTCGTGGATGTGCTCATTTCTCCTGGGGTTTTTAATATTGACAGTCACATTTTCCCTTCTTCAAGATTTTGTGCAATTCGAATTCTACTACCCGGAAGCGCAGGGACAGGCGCCGCCGGGCATCTGCCAGAAGGCAGTGGTTCCTCCACAGAGTTGGAAAGATCTCCTTGACTGCGGCTACTTTGTTGCGTGTCAGGCGGACAATTTCCAAACACCATTCCAAGGACTCTGCTTTTCTGGACAGAATTACATCGGAAATTCATCGTACAATGGCTTCAGACGAGAGCTATCCATGGGTTTGTCCATGCGGACGACTCAACAAGAAATCAGCCGATCTTTGTGCTCATTGCTGGGGACATTGGACCAAAGGCACCAAGCACGATGTTACCCCCAAGAAGCAGCTGCCAGTGAGTGGCAGTCATTGGGGACGGGATTGGAGCGATTGGGATTCCAATTGGGACAGCTGGGAACAAGATTGGCACGATGCAGAGAGTACTGGCAGGCAAGCCTCCCAGTCGCCGAGACGGCAGCAAAATTATCAGGCAGACTATTCGCCGAGAGGCCGGCCTGTCAAAGGAAAAGGAAAGTTGAAAGGCAAGGGAAAGGGCAAGTCCAAGGTGGAAACAAATGCAAGCCCCTTTGGACAGGGAAAAGGTGGTGCACCTTCCTTGCCTCCATGGCCTGCCTGGAACAATCCAGAGGTGGCCACATCGCCGTTTCAAACGGCGCAATCCAACAAGAGCAATACCATGCACGAGATGGCTGTTCATCTTCGGCAGGCCTACAAGGATTCGGAGCCGCCTGCCGATGTGCAGGCCTTCTTAGACAAGGCCGACAAAGAGTACAGCCGCAACAACATCAAGTCCCTCCAGGCGGCCACGAAGAGTTTGGATCATGCTCAAAAAGCGCTGCGAGATGCGGTGAATGCCAAAAAGGAGCATCGCCTTCAGTGGACAAAACATGTTGGAGATGGCATCAAAGTATGGGAAGCCCAGCTCGAGAGTTACAGAGTACACCAAGCTACTCTGTCAGAGCATGCAGCACGTGCCCGTGCAGAAATAGAGACATCAAGGAAGATCTTGAAAGAGGTCAGCGACAACACAGTCAAGGAGGGCAACCTTTCCATTCCTCAGCCCATCCAAGAGGAAACAGAGGATGCGGGATTGGAAAATGCTGTAGATTCCGAAGAACTGAGATTGAGGGATCAGTTACAAGGCGTCCTCAATGCATGCGCTGGTTCCCTTGGCCTACAAGTTGCGGCCCAAGATCAAGGTGTGCAAGAAGTCTCCGACGACGACAAGGAGCACCCACCACAGAACAAGAGGCAGCGATCTGTGGATCCTCCGATGCCCTTGCCATCGGTGCCAAAGCAGTGACGCATGGCCGTGAGAGTCCAGTTCTATGGAATGGTTCTCACGAGGCCGGACTGTGTATGTTTCCAAACGGCCACTCAGTATCAGGGGAAAAGGACTATTTGAGTCCATTGGATGCTGTTTTGGAGGCTTGGAAACTGCGTGGGGAAGTGCTTGATCAGGACTTTGAGCGATATCCTGCTCACTCTGCATTGCGTTTTTGTGTCCAGCAGAATTTCACTTCTTCTGGTGCAGCTGTGGCTTGCGATTCTCAAAAACCACGTGATGTTCGTCGTTTTAACAGACGTGTTCATTTCGATGATTATATTGAATTTGCTACCAGTGCTGCTGAGGAATGTGAAATCTTTCATACTTTTGTCACACATGATGCTTTGCAACAGTGGCCGGACAAGCCATGGTTTTATCGTCCTGAACCACCTAGTCGGAGATTTTCATGGCGCAAACTCACAAACTTTGTATATCCATTCTGTAGTTGGTATGGTGAAAGGGATGGTGATCGTGATGACTCGTTGTCTCTCGGAATCCAAGCAACTGCAGGCTCCCCATCAGATGCGTATGATAACATGACATCTTCGCCCTGCAATGATATGAGTTTGAGTACACCTTATCCAGTTTCCGATTGTGATCATCAGGATTCTGCACAGGATGCTCATTCAAGTGTTTTGCAGGACATCACAAACATTCCGAATATGTCCAATGGTTCTTATCAAGGGGAGTATGGTGCTCCGCTGTCCGTCAGGGCCGTGTTGAGCTCACTCCCTGAAGCTTCAGATCAAGGATGGTTAGAACACCTTCGATGTTGCAGGGGTTCATCACGCCGCATGATTGAAAACAAAGAGAATATTGAGTCTCATTCACTCATGCAAATAGGTCAGCCCTGTCCAAGTGCCTACAAGAATTCGCCAATGAATTTGCAACAAGCCTTTCAAATGCAGGCGTTTCAGGAAGGGCACGTTCAGCAAAATGATGAAACTTACAATGATGATGATTTCGGACAAGGCGAAGCAGAAGGACCCTCTCCAGGTGACAGTTCAGGGTCCTCGCAAATTGGGCCTCCCTCTGTCGATGACCATCGACAAGATGTTATGCTCTTTCACCTTGATGATCGACCTATTCGATCTCTTATCAGCTGGAACAGTTACGAAGACATGATGGTAGAAATTGCTCACCACTTTGCTCTTCAAAGAGAAGACCTTGTTGATGTATATGAGGTTGTTGTTTCCCCACCAGACATTGGCAACAATGTGGTGCCGACCATTGTCCACATTAATGGAGATGTGAATCCTGAGAGTGCCGAAAGGCTCGTCTTGATTGATGTCGAGTATCACGCACACAGGATTGAAAGAAACTTCAGGTATGGGCCCAATGTGCTGCGTTGTGTGAAACCAGTTCCTCAAACGGTTACACGGAATCAAGTGCTATTTCATGCCAACATTGATCGATATTGCCGACATGAACAAGGTCGATGCCTCGTTTTCATCAATGATAGACGTTGGCCAGATTATGACCTCGACCGGAAAACCATTGCACACGGGGACTACATTAGAATCGCTGTCCCGCCGTCTGACAGATTTTGTTGTGCCACAGTCGCTCTCTCAGACATGATCCAAAGAGGCTTTTCTGATCAACAGATTCTTGACGAAATTTATCCTGACGATGTGGCTTCTGGGTATTCGCCTAGTCTCTTGAATGAAGAGGAGACAAGAAGCCTGGCCACTCAGTACATTGAGGACACAGACGAAGTCCCCATGATGCAGTGGTCGTTAGATAACAGTCAGGAGCGAAATGCATCTATTGACAGACATGAGGCAAATGACTCCAGTGATGTGAGCATTCCGCAAGACTGGTTTGTCGATTTACAAAGACTTGTTCACTGCCATTGTCAAAATGTCGATGATCCAGTTCAGCCAGAGCTGTTGTTTCCAGTGCTTACATGGTTCATTGACCATGGCACGTCTCGCATCTGTCGAGAGCCCCGCATTGTCATGCTGGGAGATGACCCATCAGAATGGCGTGATGACATTCTTGAACCTTGGCGTCACTACATTCGTCGTGAGGACACTGCATTGATTGACCTTGTGAGTCCATTTGTCCCGAGAGCTGGAATTGAGGACCATATAGCTCACATCATTATCACTCAGAGACCTGTTGAGCTCAATTCTGTGTTATTTTCTATGGAATTTGTTGACGCCCTAGGTCCCAGTGTCATTGTGCGCTTTGCGATTGCAGTGGAACCAAATTGTTCTCCCCAGCAGATTGCCGAGATTGTGCCTCTGTATGGTCATTTTGCATTGAATCAACAGACGTGGATCCATCCTGTGTTGGATGAGCACACACCGCTGATCAAGACCAGGTTTGGATTGGGAATAAACGTGCAGATTTTTCCGGAAGCGGAAGTTCAATCCTATGATTCACCTGACAGCAGCAGTTTGCTACAGCAATGCGTTGCAGTGTCAAAAAATACTGATGGTGCCAGCGGGGAGGATGACTGCGGGTCCGACAGACTGCACGCAGATTCAAGCATCGAATGTTGCTTTGATTGTTGCAGCCATGCTTGCGATGAGAAAAATATCAAAATTGGATCCCGACGGCCTCATCCAGTATTTATTGATTTCAGCCTGACAGAGGAGTTTATAAGGTATATTCAAGCTGTTGGTACACAGGGTGAAACAGATCCAGCATTGCTTGAAAGACCCGATGGCCTGAGTGACCAGCCAACCTGGGTTCAGGACTTATGGGAAAAATGGGTTGAAACAGCTGCTCACAATGGGGAAGACTTGCAAAATGGTCCACGACTTGAGACCTGGTTTACGAATCCACGTCGATGGACTAGATGCGAGCATTCTAGAGTAGTGGTGTTATCCAGCAATTTTCAGCAATGGGAAAGAGAACTGCTTGCTGCATGGACTGATCGTGCAGACAGAGCTCTGCCAACACAATTTGCAATTGTTTTTCCAACTCCGCCTGATGCAGATCGGACAGCTCAAGAGCAACTTGTCATTGAGCAGCAATCCGAGCCATTTTCCAGGACAATAGTAGTAACTGTGTGTGATACTGCT